CACCAAACTCTTCTTTCATCAGTTGGATGCATCTTTTCATTTTGAAAGTAAAGATAAAAAATCTGGATTAGAACACTCAGTCCCCCCATCCAAAGTATCTGGCTCATGTTTTCCTAGTGTGGCCCATCACAGGAAGGACAATTTTTGTTGGAAACTAAAGTGATTTGTGGCATCAGTTTATGCTTTAACTGAGAGAAATTGAACTCAAATTGAGGGGCAGAAAAAGTTTGTCTTTGCACAGTGGGTGCTGGAAGTGTGAAGTCTGAAGCATGAGAGCTGCTTTGTTATGAGGGTACGACCAACCAGAGTTGCCCAAGCCTGAGTAACTCAGAAATTCAGAGCAACTCCTCCAAAGAATGAGGGAAGACTGAAATTCTGACAAAATAACCCCAGACTTTCCCAGGTTCCAAACCAACCTGGGAAACAGAGGCACCAGGGGAGGCTGTGAGACTCCAGTCAGGAATGGAGGGAAAGAAGAGCTTGTGGATTGGAGAGAAAAGCAGGAAAAGGGATGTCACCCCAGCATCAGACTGATCCCAGAGCTCTGGGCAGTTTCCAGAGGTTCCCACCGTGCTGGGGGTGTCCCCTCCCTGCCCCCAGGCTGTGACAGCCACCCTGAGCTGGGTACAGGTTTCAGGAACAGCTGAGCTCATCATTCCTTTGGAAGGGAGGGCTTGGCTTGAAGGCTCTCCATTAAAAAAGGCAAATAAGATCATTTGGTTCAATATAAAATGAATTAAAGTAAATTAAACTGCAGGAGCCATGTGGCCTGCAGAGGCTTCCATTATTGTGCACACATCAAGGGCAGCTTTTCATTTGCACTGCTAAGGAATGACAGCTTGAGGGGGGTGGAATTCAAAATCAGGAAATAAATAATAAAAGGACACACTTGCCAAAGATTTCACTTAGGAAATCCCAGGTGCCTGCAAGCCTCCCATCCCCTCCTCATGTTGTTGTCAGCAATCTGAGCTGGAGAAGTGAGTGAAACATGGGGGAGGGAGAAAGGAAATCAAACCAACTGTAAGGGACTGTAAGGAACTGTTAGCCCAAGTTCTTGCATCTGTGTGTCCCTACAAAGATACCATGGACATTTTATACATCAGAAAGGCCCTAAATAAGGATTTTCTCTGCATGCTCAGTGCAGAGCCAAGTTAGAGGGGATTGCATTTCCAGGAGAGTGAAAGTGCCGAAGGAGAACACTGGCATTGCCCCCTCACTGCAGCTTTGAACATACTTGCTTGGTGATTTTTTCCAGTTTTGATTGTTTTATTAGTGCTTTTTATATTTAAAGTATCATCTCATCAAGTCTGGTCAGAGAAAACTTGGCTTGAATTTGGCAGCAATTGCAAATTCTACACTTGGACCAAAAACCTTTGTCAGGTGCACATCCTATTTCCTGCCATAGATGAACACAGCTCTGCCAGGGAACCTGGCACAATAATTTCCACATTCCTTCTGAAACTTCACCTTTCTTTTGTCCTGAGGGGGAAAAAAAAGGCTCTTGAAGCATTTGAGTCCTCTAAAATTACAGAAGCAATAAAAAACTCACTGAGAGCTTGCTCATAGTTGATGTTGAATTAAAACTACCCGGGCAAAGATGTTCCTGGTCCTTGTCTGTGCAATATGGAGTTTGTTGTGGGTGGGGAGGTGTTCCCAGGCAGGTGACAGCCCAGCCTCTCATCCCTCTCCTCGCTGGCCTTGGTCCTCTTTGAGGGAGCTCACTCCCAACAGATTCACTCTCATGGAGCAGCTGAGCTTGGCTCCTCTTGAGCCATCCAGGATGTTCTGCAGGGACATTTCCCTGCTGCAGCTGGGGCTGATGTGCTGTCCCAGAGTCAGGAGTGTGGGATTCCTTATTTACAAAATTAAAAACTTAACTGAAGCACAGCAGCAGGTACTGAGGAGTGGGGACTCCTCTGGCCCCCTCCCTAAGCTTGCTTTGCAAGTCACTGCTACTGAACTTTCTAAAAATCATTGCTCTTCAGTGCTTTCCCGGTTTAAGACACAAAAGATGTGATTTCCAGAGGCATTAAAATTCTCAATTTCCCCTCTAGACCACCTTGACATGACTCCTCATTAGTCCAGCATGGATTTTCACCAGCATCCTCCATGCCACAATGCTGTTTGCTGTGTAAATCTGGGAATTTTGTGTTTTATTGCTCCTACCCAGCACTTGATCTGTTGGCACCATGACCTGGAATCTCAGCAGAGCCTGCTCTCCTCTGATCCAAATTGCCAGCAGGACTCCAAAGCTTTTTCAAGCATGCTTCAGAATATGCCCTAATGCTGCTGCTGGCAGCAGAGCAAGTGAGACTTGGAGCTTCCCTCGAGTGCTAATCACACCTTGCAGTTGCCTCATTGCAACTTCTCTCACTTCTGCTGCCTGCACCGTGTCAGCCCTTGCTGTGCCTCTGTTCCTTGTGGGAGGCACAGCCTTATGGCCAAGGGGCTGCACACTGAGCCCTGGGGGAATTTGCATTCCCTCTGCTGTGTCCAGCTTGGCATTCAGTTTTTAATTCCACTGTTCCATCTTATTTTTCTGTGAGACTTCACCGCCACGCCCCAAGGGTGAAGGTGAGGGATTGGAAGAAGCTGTTGCAGCAACTGGAAAGTTCACAGGAAACAAAGAGAAGAATATTCTACAAGTTCAAGTTGAGTTGCTACACTGGAGAATTAAATCCTGTCCTTTACTTTGCCAAGTAATTCCTGTGTGAGTCTAGAGAAGTCAGGTAGAGCTGCAAACTGAAGTCAGGGGTTCAGCTTTTAATGGTAACGTGATCTAGAAAATGAAGTGCTTTATAAAAAATCTAATCCCAGCACCTCAGCTTGGACACCAAAACAACCTTGCCTTGACCTTTGTGTGTCTCAGGTTCTCATTTAGAAAATGCAGAGAAAAGCTGTCCCTGAGGTCAGGCAGCAGCATGAAAATAAAGGGGTTTTAAAAGTGTTTTCTGTAGTGCTGATGTCGTAAAGGGACTGAAGAAATTCCAGGAATGTGCTCCTCTGGGCAGAGCTCAAATGGCAGGAGGGGATCAGATGCAGATCTGCCATCAGGTAGTGAGGATGTAACAAAATACCCAGAAATTCCGTGCAAAAGCAGCCAGTGCTGAAACTCTGCATGTACAGGAGGGAAAATGCAATTGTGTGAAAATGCTGAATTCCCCTCTTTCAAAAGAACTGCTTGGTTTAGAGTATAGAAATTGTATTTCTGTGTGGTGAAGGAGGTTCAGAGAAATGGGAGGATTATACCCCAGTCATTGACTTGTGTTTTTAACTGAGCACTGAAAAAATAAGGAATCAGAATTTCACCATGTGGTATCTGAGGCTCATCAGCAGAGCTGCTAAAATTAGATCCCAGCACAGCCCTTCCCCACGTGTGCTAATGAAGTGTTTGATAGCAGCAGCAGCAGCAGCTCCCTCAGAGGAAGCAGGGCCAGCACTGCCCTCCTCACTTCTTGGGCAGGCTGAGTTAACTCTTGATGGGAGCAGAGCCTTCCTGCTCATCCTACCCCATCCTCATCAGCAGCCATAACTCCAGGTCATTTCTTATTTAATCTCTGCAGTTCAGCTCCCACACTCCTGCATAGGGCTGGCCCACCAGAAAGATTCTGCTGATCTTAGAGAGCTCTTCAACCTCTCTACAGTGCATTTCAGAGAAAATTCCCATATTTACAAAGGTTTTTCTAACATAGGAAAACTCACCTGACAGAAACAGACCTTGCCTTATTTCAAGCTGTAGTACCAAATCAGATGCACAGGAGAAATCATTGTATTTGTGCTTCATATAACACACAGTTGTAATCTTGAAGGAGAAAAAAAAAAAGCTGATGTATTCTAGCTGATTTTTTCAGACAAAATTCAGCTGAGACAAAGATTTGATTTTGAAAAGTGTAACCTAGATAGCCAAGAGATAACAGAGCAGAGCAGTGGCAGGTAGGTGTGTTGAGTGTGCTCCCACTGATGGGTGCTGTCTGCAGTAAATTCCTGCTATCAGAAATCTGCATTTTACTGCTGAAACTGTAGGGAACAATCCTCATTTTCCAAGCTTCTGGCTCAGAAGGAGGGCCTCACTAATTGTAGAATCATTTTTGATTTTCTGGCACTTTTCCTAGTTTAAAGAAGGGGCTGGAGGGGTGCACTGAGATGCCTGAAGTTTTTAGGGTTTTTTTTGTTCTCTTTAAGTGATTCTCAGCTGCCCTGCTGGAATCACTCTAAATTTGCCAACATTTATGGTCAGGTGGGTGCTGCTAAGGGGCTGCAGGGAGGGATGCATCCCTTAAAACATCACTCTAGGGAGGCTGTCACCAAGTTTCTAGCTGCTAAAAAATCCTGCTGCCCTGCAGTTAGCACTGGAAACTGGAGATGAGGGAGTTGTGGCAGCTCTGGGGAGGGTGCAGGAGTTGTGGTTGGATGCTGAAGTTTGTCACTCGATGCCACTGTCACCTCTAGAGCCTGGCTGTGCCCGGGGCTGTGCCCAGCTTTGCTCACAGATGATCACTGAGGGTTTTTGGTGCTCAGAGGTTGTGTTGGAGCAGAGTTCCAGCAGGATGAAGGATGCAGCAGGATGCAGGATGCAGCAGCTCTGGCTGATGCAATGGGACAGCAAGCAGTGACCTGTCCCAGCCAGCAGCAGGGATGGATGGAGGGTGGGAGGGATGAGAGCAGAAAGCAAAATTCGCTGCCTTTACCTTGCTGGGAGCTTTCATCAGAGCCCTGTGGAGGGCCACGGTGACAGCGTTGTCATTTCTGCCCCAGCAACGCCCGAAATAAACCGTGATGGCATCGCGGCGGGGCTGGGAGAGGCCGCAGTGCTGATTGCATAAACTGGGGCGGTGCCGAGCCCGGAGTGCTGCGGGGGCTGTGCCGGGAGGGGATGAGATGGGGATGGGGATAGGATGGGGATGAGGGGATGGAGGGAGGATGAGGAGGGGAGAGGTGATGGTGGTGGGATGGGGAAGGGATGGAGTGAGGATCGGGATGAGGTGGGGATGGGATGGGGNGGCCCCGGCTCTCTCCGAGCTCAAAGCTGTCGTTGGGTGGCTGCAGAAGGGGCTTCCCTTCATCTTGATCCTCCTGGCTAAAGTTTGTTTCCAGCACAAGCTTGGTGAGTATTCGTCAAAGCTTTTTGAGCTGTGGTTAGAGGGTGGTTGGGAGGCTTTAGCAGGTTGTGATATCTGTGAAAAACGCCAGTCACTTGGGTTTAAAATTTTAAAAGTTTAATATTATTAAAATGGTTATAAAAATAGTAATACAATTAGAGTAATTATAATTTGAACATTTTGAATTAGGACAATATGAGACAACAAATACAAAGAGTTACAGAAGTCCTGGTACCTTTTCTGGGCAGCAGGAGCCTGGAAAAGGACCCACGTTAACAAAGGATTAACCCTTATAAACAATGCCTGTTGTATATTCCTACACCTCATACATGATGCATAAATTCCATTCAAACGCAGGATTCTGTCTGGTGATTGTCAACTTCTTCCTCCAAATCCTAACAGTGCCTTCAGAGTGGGAAGAAGTTCATTTCTTCTGATAAGAAGGCAATAAATTCTTTTTCTCTGAAAGATTCAGGTGTCCTGTAGCTGCTATGTCGCTGCCAGTCCTTTCTTTAAAAAAAAGTATCTTACATAGCATCATTTCTATTTTAACAATTTTTATAACCTGAAACTATATTTAACACACTACTTAAGAGAATTAATGCAGCATTACTTTCTAACACAACACATATAACATTCATTTTAATATTTGCGAAAAGCCAATCATAAACTACATGCATTTTTCACATGATGCATCCATGCTTTTTGAGCTGTGATTATAGAGTGGTCGGGAGGTTTTATCAGGCTCTGATGTCTGATATATTTATCCACATGGCAGTGTCCGGGTGGAGTCTAGCATGAAAGGAACATACTCAAATGCATGTGATAAATTTGTGATAAATCCCCCCTACTTTCAGTCCAAGCTGTCTTCATCAGGGTCAGACCCATCTCTTTCCTGTCCTGACCAGTGCTGTTCCATTCCCTGATTTCTCCCTGACATTCCTCAGGATGTTACCAAGGCTTCTCGCTCTAGGAGAGATGGGCAGAGCTTACCCTGGTGACAGCAAAGCTTTCTGTGTGGCACAGAGGGGTTCAGAGACTCCTGTCTTGCAGGGAGGGTGCTGGCTGTGAAATCCAGCCCAACAGCATCAGCAGTTTGTGTCTGACAGAGCCTTTCCCTGCAGGAATTGCTGTGTGCATTGGCATGGCCAGCACCTTTGCCTACGCCAACTCCACGCTCCGAGAGCAGGTGGCTCTGAAGGTGAGTCTGGCATTTTACTTTTTCCTGTATGGGGATTTTTGAAGGAGTTTTCAATGAATTAGAGACAGGACTCTGAGGTTTTTAGATGATGCCATTTATTTTCTTATTTTCTGCATAGATAGGAAGGCTGAGTTCAGCTCACATCTTTACAGGATGTGAGAAGGTCAGAAGGTGGTTCAGAAGGTCACAAGACCCCTGGTTACGAGACCTTTTAATGATTTATTGACTAATAAAACACTGCTAACAGGGATATTTATGTTTTTGACTCAGTCCTTATGGACTTCCATCTTATGGACCCATGCTAGTGTAAGCTTTCTTAGCTGATCATGTTATGACACACAGAGCTACAATACTGCATTCTAAACTCCTTGTTTACCTTTGTAACTACTTTTATTTTTTCTATAATTTAAACTATAAAACTCCAAACTTTCCTCCACTTCATGTGTCTCTACTTCAAACTATAAATCCACCTTCTCACTTCTAGCACCTAAGTTTGGAAGCCTTTTCCAAGGTCTTGAAATAAATCCTGTCTTTAATTCTAAGCTTTGGCTTACAGGCCCAAAGTTGTGAGAATTCCCTGCATTTTGGATTCCAACACTCCTGTTCCCAGCAAACATCATTTTCCATGCACAAAATAGCATCTGTGTTGAACCTTTGATTGCAGTGTAGAGCTGAATGCATTTATTTGTGCACAGATCTGTCTTCTCCTTCCTGCCTCTCCCAAAGTCTCTGCCCTGCTTTTTTGTGAAATGTGGTGTAATAAAACAAAAAGGACAGGTCAGGGATGTTGTAATCTTCATCTCCCTCTGCCTTGGCTGTGCCTGTTCCAGCACTTCTCTGCACCTTGGTTTTCCCATCATGTACAGCAGAGATGCTGATGCCTATTTAACTTATTAATGATGAGATTCTGCTAATTCACATTTAGCTAATGCTTTGAGATGTTCAGCTGGAAGATTTCATAGATGTGTTGCTTGCTAGTAGCTTTATAATGCTCTGGGCATTAATATGCTTAGAATGTAAAGAAACCAGCAGATCTTTTCAAGGTTTTCTGATCTGTGTCAGGAGAACAATTCAACAGTGCTGAAAGCACAAAGCTAGAATTGCTTTTTTGTCCACACAAGTGCATGGCTGTGTGTGCCAACAGCAGTGGAATCAGTGAGATCCAGCCCTGAGTGAGCAGAGCAGTGGCACAGCCCAGTAACAGATTGCTGCTGCCTTGCACTCTGCACCTCTGCCCTTCCAGCACTGTGCCCCTTGATCTGCCTGCTTTAAATCTCAGCACAGCAGGCCTGGCTGCTGGACAGCTACAGAGACCTCCTTTCTTAATAAATCAGCTCACAAGACAAATGGTGGGTGTATTTCCTCTCAGGAATAAAATTTATCCCCCAAAGTTACCAAGGGCCAAGACCCAGGGCAGTGTCTGCTGCCATCCAGCTTGTCTGTAACTTCCCATATATGTTGAAATGCAAAATTTCCACTTCTTTTGACCTTTAATTATTTGTTCAATCACAAATGAATGTTCCAGAACCCCCATGCTTTAGGATAGCACCCAGATGTGCTGCAGGTAGTGGTGGGGTGTATTTGATTTAGCTGAGCCTTCCAGTGAGTGGCTTTGGGTCTTTTTATAAAACACCATGAATTGTCACTCCAGCCAGGTGACAGCTCAGAATTTGGACAATACATGGAATACACATTTTTTAAACTGCATTTTAAATATCAGGAGATTTTAGATGTCACAAGAAAGATCCTAGCTTTGAAGATGCATTCTGCAAGTAATTCTGTCATGTTCACCAGCTTATTTCAATTATTTTCCATTGAAAATGTTGCAGGAGTGAGAATCATTTCTGCTTGTGTTTATAGATATCTTTACCTTGCAGACTACTTCTTAGTCCTGTGTAAATAACTAATTACTGAGCACTTTGTTACATATCTGTTGGATTTTTCAGCAAGGCTCAGCTCAAGTCTTGAGATTTTGAGCTGCAATAACTCTGCTGTTTTTCCTTGCTCAGGAGAAGAGATCAGTGCTGGTTGTCTTCTGGATCCTGGCCTTCCTCACTGGAAACACCTTGTACTTGCTTTACACATTCAGCTCTCAGCAGCTTTACAACAGGTGAGCAAAACCTGCCTTGTGCAGGCTGGGAGCAGGGGATCATTGCCAGGGAGGGAAAGAGGGAATCCCACACTGTGGGAGGAACTGTGTGCCCCTAAAGCATCTGCTGTGTTTGTTACATCTTTGTAATACCCTCCAGTGCAGGAAATGGGTGTGTGTGTCACCCTACCATGCTCCTGTCAGTAAAGGACATGAGCAGTGTGTAAATGTGATGGTGTCAAAGCAGGGTGGATCCTTTCCAAAACGCCCTCTGAATTCCCATTGTGACCACTGCAGCTGAACATCAAGGGCAGTTGAGGAACTGACCCACTGATTTTCCTCTTCAGTCTGTCCAGATTGGAGTGCAGGACAGGAGATGAAATAGTTTTATCCCAGTGTTCTCAGGGCACTTGGATCTGAGGTAATTAAGATTTCAAATCCTGACTGAGTTAGTTCTCAAATACAGCAAGGTTTCTGCTCATGGATTTGAATCACAACTTAATGTAAAGCAGAGAGAAATAATCAGAGGTTTAAGCATACAATAAGCAGAGAAAGGGAGAGAGCTGAGAAGGTTTGAATGTGGGGCTGAAGGGGAGAGGCCAAGCCATGGGATTGTCTGGAGGGAGTGGGAGAGGAGGGACAGGAATGGCACAAAGGTCTGGAAGTGAAATGTTTGCACACAGGGTGTCTCTAAGAAGATGGCCAAAGTTAAAAGCATGAATGGGACTAGTTCAAAATAAAGGCTAAATCATGTAAAATATAGGGATTTTAGCAATTTGGGGCCATCCTACAGACAGTTTAGAGTGTGGTTTATTGCCAGTGGCCAGGCTGGGCCACAGCTCCAGGAAAAGCCCTGTTCCTGTCATGCTCAGGCTGCTGCATCTCTTGCTTGCCAGACCTGGGACTATTCCCAAGCCAGCCTTGTCAAATTAGAAATGTCTGCTTCAGTTCTGTTTCTTTCTTTCATTTTTCATTTCCTGATTTTTTTTTCTTGTTTCTAGTGCATGAATAGTAGTAAAGTTTCTGATTCTGTTTCTGTTTTTAGGGTGTAATTTTACCTGTTGTGCTGTGCCAGTGTTGTGAGTATTTTAATTTCATGTTCAGGCTTTTTGTTTTGGGTTGGTTATTTTACTTTGCTTTTTTTAAATTTTGTTTGGTTTTTATTTTTTTTTCTGTTACAACTTTCTACCATGAGGCTTTAGCAGGTACAACCCTGAAGGTGAATCCTGTTTTTTCAGTCTGACTAGGGTCTAGTTCTCATTATTCATTATTGCTCAGGCCAGTAGCTCCTGCCCATTGCTGGGTGAAATTTTGCTGTCCCAGACTCCGCTTTTTCAAACAGCAAATATTCAGCCCAGTCAATGACATTATGTAAGGGTCATTAATTTTTGGATCTTTGATTCAGGTAAGGGTATAACAGAGCCCAGCTCTTGCTGTGCTTCAGTAAGAGGCACTGTCAGGGCAGGACACAAAGCGTGAAGTTCTCCCCTTTGTGCCATGGCTGGTGCAGGGTTTCCTGTGCCACCCCTTTGATGTGCCCAGTGGCTTTGGGGACTGAGCCCCTGTGGCAGAGCAGCCTGAGGGTCTGTTCCCTTGCCCAGGGAAGCAGGATTGTTCTGAGCAGGACTGCCAGGACAAGCTGTGACACCCAGATCCCTCACTCTGCGCTGAGGGCACTGTCAGCACCCCAGCTTATGGACACTGCTGGATTCCAAACAGATTTTGAGTGCCTGGGTCCTGTTTTGTGACTCTGGGCAAGCCTGCTGACCCCTGTAGAAGCTGCCAAGAGCAAAGTCAGGAAGCCCAGACCTGATTTGTGTTTTTCTTGCCCTTGAGAGCTTCCCTGAAGTTCAGGGCCCTTGCTGGGCTCTCTGCAGCCAGCAGTGCCTACAAGGAGCTTGAGCAAGCTACTCCTCAGTGGTGTTTGAGCTTTGGTGTCTCTTTCAGCCTAATATTCCTGAAACCCAACCTGGACAGGCTGGACTTCTTTGACCTGATGTGGATTGTGGGCATTGCAGACTTTGTGCTGAAGTACCTCACCATTGCCCTGAAATGCCTCGTGGTGGCCCTGCCCAAGATCATCCTCGCTGTCAAGTCTAAGGTAGGTGACTCTGCTTGAGGCACAAACTTTGGTTTTGATAATCTGGTACCTTCACCACACATTTGCAGCATGGAATCAGAGAATCAGGGAATGGTTTGGGTGGGAAGGGACCTTAAATCCCACCCAGTTCCATGGCAGGGACACCTCCCACTGTCCCANGACCTCAGTGGCGTCCCGGGGGACATGAGCTCATGAGCAGCGCTGTGGGGAGGGTTGGATTGCCGAGCAGCAGGATGGCCTGCGAGTGATCTCATCCAGCCCCCGGGGAAGGGCGCTGGCTGCTGCCAGCCCGGCTGCAGGACTCCATCCCCACCTCAGCAATTAGTGATTGGCCTGCGATGACATCACTGATGACAGAGCTAACTGGGACAGCACAGCAACATTCCAGGGGAATTTCCCCTTCTCCAGGAGCTTAGCAGATAAAAGGATTTTGACGGGACAAACCCACAGCTTTCAGCCCAGATAATGTCTGCATTAAGCATCCTTCTGGGCTCGTTTGCCACCAGCTGTCCCTGTAAACAGCGTGGGACAAAACAAGCTGGGGGTGGCCCTAAATTAGGCACTTATTCAGGCTTTGGTGGAGGTTGACAAAGGATGCTGCCCATTCTTTGAGTCTCTTTTGAGAGAGAAGCATTTCAAGCAGCACATTGCCCCTCCCCACCTTTCCTTCCTTGAGCTCTTCAGGAAGGTTTGGTCTCTTTGAGTTTTAAATGGCCTGAGGGTTTAATTTCCATTTTTTTTATCTGTGCACTGCCCAAGAGCCAACACCCGCCTGAGGGGGAGGGGAAGGATGCTGGCAAACATAATTAATTTGATTCTTAAACCTAAAAAGTTGTCAGGAAGTCTGGGGTCACTTTACATTTAATCCCTGTACCTTCAGAAGGTTGTAAGGTCAGAGATAAACTTGCTTTCCTTTTTCACTAATAATAATAATATCTGCAGTTTACATTTTATGAATCCCGTGTTAACCTTTGTTTTTCTGCGGCATTGTCCAGACACACAATTTATTGCCTGCTCTAAAGTTTATAATTCCAAAATGCTGCATAGCAGATTTCATTGATTTCAAATTTCAAGTTTAAGTTGACAGTAAAAAACCAGTGAATATTTTAGTGACTTGTTCAGCTGAGCCCTGTGGAGGAACAAAGGGATGTTTTTCCTGTCTGGGCACAGAGCTGAGGGGCTGCAGAGAAAGCTGCACCTCACGAGTGTGATCTCTGCACCATTTAACAGTGCACTGATCACTGAACACCAGCCCTGCACAAATTAAATGTTCTTCTTTTGACTTCCTGATAATGATCCTGCCTCACTTGCCTGGTTGTCTTGCAGGGAAAGTTTTATCTGATCATTGAGGAGCTGAGCCAGCTGTTCCGCTCGCTGGTGCCCATCCAGCTGTGGTACAAATACATCATGGGGGATGATCCCTCCAGCAGCTACTTCCTGGGTGGCATCCTCATCATCATGTACAGCCTCTGCAAGGTGAGCAGCACCTCCTGAACCTTCCCTGGCAGCAGGGCCAGGGGAGCAGCACAGCTGAAGGGACAAATGCTGCTTTTGCTTGTGGCTGTCCCTGCTTCAGCTGCCCAGCATGTGGGCACTGCTGGGCTGGGGGAGGATCTGAGCCTGCTCCCAGGGTTGCATCAGACTCATGAAGTCATTGCTGCTCTGCTCATCCCTCTCTGCAGAGGCTGCAGGAGGAGGGGAGCTGGTCCTGGGGGAGCTGCACGCCTCCAGGTGTCACACAAACCAGGCTGCACACACTCCTGGCTGTCTCTGAGCTTTCCTCTGCCACTCACAGCTCTGAGAGCAGCAGGGAGGGAAAGCAGCAGCCAAGTCCTGCCTGGATAAAACAGCTCCCATTCCAGCCCTGCTCTGGCTGACACAAGTGATGGACAGGGGTAATTCAGGTTTCCTCAAAAACAAGAGCACAAAGTTGGTACAAATGTAAATGAGTAGGTGTGATTTAGTCAGAGGAGTCCCAGGTGGAGAAATAATTGTATTTCTGGTGCTGTGTGTTGAACCCTGCCCAGGGGCAGGGCAGTAGCTGAATCAAGCTCTGATAAAGCAGAGGTTCACCCCTCTGAGAAGGGCCAGGCCTGCTCCATCCCACAGCCCTGGCTGTGCCTGTGGCTCTGCAGGAGCAGCCTGAGAAATGAAGAATAGAGAATATATGAGGGGCTGAATAGAGAATACATTCAAGCTGGAAGCAGCTGAGAGGAGCAGAGCAATGCTGAATTACTGAGTGTGGTGCAGGAATAGGGCCCTGCAACCCCTCCTGTGCTGGGCTTTGCAGTTCTTGTGAGCAGATCAGGCAGAGGAGGCTGTGGCCAGGGAGCTGATGTGGTCACAGCAGGCCTGAGCAGGACAAGCAGTGCCAGGACAGGAGCAGCTCCTGCACACCCCTCCTGCTCCTCTCCCTGTGCTGGGGGGAGGATTGGGGCCCTTTCACAGGTGTCATTGCCTGGACCCACTGCAGTATCCACCCCTCCCTGCAGACACAGGTGGACAAGAGCAGGTTTCAAATGATCTTTGCTGTCCCCTGCTTGAAAAAATAGCTCAACCCCTGGAAAAGGGCTGCAGTTCCATGTGGCATTTCTTGCTCCTGAGAAGCCCTCAGAGAGGGAAGCTGCTGGTGGGGAATTCTGCTCCTTGGAGCAAGGGGTGCCAAACTCAACAGCACAGCTGGCAGGAAAGGGCATCAGCTGCTTCCAGCTTGGATGTATTCTCTGTTCTTCATTTCTCAGGCTGCTCCTGCAGAGCCACAGGCACAGCCAGGGCTGTGGGATGGAGCAGGCCTGGCCCTTCTCAGAGGGGTGAACCTCTGCTTTATCAGAGCTTGATTCAGCTACTGCCCTGCCCCTGGGCAGGGTTCAACACACAGCACTAGAAATACAATTATTTCTACACCTGGGACTCCTCTGAGTAAATGACACCTACTCATTTGCATTCCCTGAGCCCAGCAGTGAGGGGGGCTCAGGGGAGGATGAGGAGGGTGCAGAGCAGGGGGACCTGGAGCAAGGCACAGCTCACCTGGACACCTCAGAGCACAGCTCAGTGTGTGGTTTGAACAGGGGTCTGCTAAGGAAGGCAGGAGAGTGTAAACTCCCCCTTCCCTCTGAATTATTATAATTTTGAAATTAAGGGGCTCTCAGGCAAAGATGTGGGAGTAGGAATTACAGTTCTTTACTAGGGAAAAATAAAAATAAAATAAAAATGCAGTAATACATAACAACATTGTCAGAGTGATCACAGTCCCTGCCCCCTGTGTGTCAAGGCGGTGTCCCAGCCCCATCCATGGGGGCTCAGCCCTCCTGCAGTGCCAGCTGTGGCTCTGCTGCAGCAGGGATCCTGCACAAGGGGGGAGTTTTCCT